AATCTCTGGCTGAAGTCTTACCCTGCTCAACCTTCAACCTCCAGCCTTCTAAGCACGAAGCTCGAAACTCTAAATCCTCAATCCTAAACACTTAGTTAGCCAACAGGAGAACTTTAAACTTGTTGGCCCTATCTATTAGGTCTATACTAAAAAGTTTGAACTTTTTTTTGGGCCTGGTTGTTGAAGAAGAAAGAACATGACCTCTAAATCCCAAACCCGAAGCCCCACTTGGCCTTAGACCGAACACCGCAAACCCGAAACCGCCAGCTCCAAGCCCATGCCCACTTGGAGGATCATGAGACTTGATAAGTAAGGTTTAGGGTTTAGGGTTTCAGGGTAAGTACCTTACTTGGAGCTGCATATAATGATATAACCCTAAGGGTCCCAAGGACCCAATAGTAAGGTACTTTGGTTGCGGATAGTAGTTTGTCAGGTTAATATTGAGGAGAGTATATGATCATTAGGTAATTGGACCCTTAGGGTAAGGTTATAAGTACCTTACTTGGAGCTGTATATAATGATATAAGTACCTGATGTATAGCCCTAGTTACTAAGTCCCATGATCCTTCAAGCAGCCGAGCATAAACACTGGCCAGGAGATCACACGCGCCTACTCCAGGACTCTCCTTACCGCCCGTTTTTTCTCGGATCCGTTGAGGCTATAGCGTTTAGGGTTTAGGGTTCAGGCTATAGCTAGTGTTTAGGGAAGTTTAGGGTTTCGAGTTTCCGGTTTTGAGACTGGCTAAAGTCACAGATTACAGCGTCCTCACCTCTTGTTGGTCTTGAGAGAACCTGGGCACAGAAAGTATGCAGATTATGTAACCCTTATGCCTTATGCCACCCCTGCCATTTCCCCAACTCCTTCAAGACTCATGCATTTTTCCGAAACCCTAAACCCTAAACCCTAAACCCTAAGACCTCAAAGCCCTGACGGGCTTTAGGGTTTTAGGGTTCGGGGTTTAGGGTTATAGGGTTTAGGGGATTGGGTTTAGGGTTGCGGATAGACGTTGATATCTGGGAGGTTTTATTCTTACTAGGTATTCGCACCCTTAGGGATCCATTATGAAAGGTCTTGAACTGTGAACCTTTGCCGGTAGATGCGGCCTCATGACCGGTGTATAGACCCAAGAGCAGATCACATCCACACGATTGCTTAGTAGTAGGCCTTGATCACAAGGCGCTAACGATGTAGAAGTGAGAGGTGCCTATCCGTTGAGCCCTACCTGGAGGATCATGGGACTTAGTAAGTCAGGTTATAAGTACCTAAATTGGGGTTAGAAGTAATTATCTAGTTACTAAGTCCCATGACCCTTTACGTTAGCCCTGAGCTCGGAACCTCAGCCTGCAGCACATGGGGATGCGCTCTAGACACGAAACCAATGGCTCCGCACAGGATTTCGGGTTCCTCCGAGCTGACCTTTACCGGCCTTATGGGTCCTTGTTGAAGTTCACAGGGATCTTCTAGTCATTCTAGTCTTTGCAGTATAATTACATTACAGCCTGTCATACCGCAAACCCTATTCCAGTTATGAATGTTCGGGTTCTGGTTGTACTTGAACGCCCACCCCTCCCAGAGCTACAGGGAAAAAAACGAGCTTGCCTACAGGCCTCAGAACTTGTGTGAAGGGTCCGAATCAAGCCCACATCGTCTCTAGTTGTTGGGTGAAGCGGTTTAAGGTGCGGTCGGAAGCCTGACCCCACAACTGGCAAGCAACTACCACCCTCCAGTCTGCACCCTAAAAGCAGCCACGGGAAGATGTTCTTCCTGTTTCCTTTGCCACCGTGGTCACAGGAGCACTGCAACCCCAAAGCCAAAGCCCCAAGCTCTTAACATTTAGCCCTCTCAACGTGTACATTCAGAACCCTACACCCTAAACCCTAAACCCTAAACCCTAAACCCTACACCCTAAACCCTAAACATCCCTAATTATACCAGACATCCCCAAATACCGTCTGCTCCCTAAACCCAAACGGTGCGACAGGCTTGCCTTCCATAAGACTTTTTAAAGTAGACCCCAGAAGCCTTAAGCACAAAAGCGATTGCTTGGGCCCTAATCCCTAAACTTGAAACTAAAAACAACCCCAAAGCGTCCTAACACCATTAAGCCCTAAAGCCCGAAACCAAAAGACCCTAAACCAAAACCCTACACCCTCATAGATACCTTAAAGGAACCGTAAGAGGGTCAAGAAAACTAGAGGCCCCTAAACCTAAACCGCGGTTCATGGCCATGGCTCTCGCGGCTGGCTGGGCGCCACCTGCGCTGCCCCGATCTCCGCTTCAGAGCCAGGCGATGTGGTAGGGTTTGGGGGTTTAGGGTTTGGGAGGGTTAGGGAGGGTTCAGGGATTTGGGGTTAAGGGCTTTGGGGCTTAGGAGGGTTTAGTTTGGCGTTAAGGGTTTAGGGGTTTAGGGTTTAGAGTTTAAGATGGTTATATGAAGTCCTTATACGAGTCCTTAAGTAATAAGATTTAGAGTTTAGGGCAGGGGTTGGTGTGCTTGGGGTTCAGAGGATTTATTTATATTCAATGTTATTTTTTTTGTGGTGAGGGGTTCAGGGTTTAGGATTTTTGAGTTTATGGGTCTATAGAATTTATCGGTTTTGAACTTCTAGGTTTCAGGAGTGTGTGGGAGCTTCCAACTCCCGAAATAGCACCGTCAAAAGCACAGTTCCCCTTTTGCTGGATTTCTATTTTTGGGCTATATGGTCTCAGACTCAAAACCTAACCCTTAGGGTCCAAGTACCGAATAATCATATACCCTCCCAACTATTAACCTAGATAGCTAGTATCTGCAACCAAGGTCCCTTATGATTGGGTCCTTTGGACCCTTAGGGTTAGACTCAAAACCCTAAACCCTAAGCCCTGAACCCCTAAACCTGTAAATCCCTAAACCCTAAACCCCTAACCCTGAACCTTGAACCCTAAACCCTAAACCCAAACCCCAAACCCTGAACCCTAACCCTGAACATTCCCCAAGAGGTGTACCTCTGGGACCAGCGGAGATGGCGATCGCAGAGCACATGGCCTCGGGCGTCCAAAGCAGTCGCCGAGCTCAGCAGCACAGCAGACTCAACCTTAGGGTTTAGGGTTATAGGGTTTGGTTTTAGGGTTTAGGGTTTAGGGTTTAGGGTTTAGGGTTTAGGGTTTAGGGTTATAGGGTTAGGTTTTAGGGTTTGGGGTTTAGGGTTTAGGCTGCCTGGGGCTTTACCTATAGTCTCCATTGTAGGTCCTTTCGGGGTTACCTTCTAGTACAGGATCCTAATTATATAACTGGTTAAACCGAAAAAGGAGCTACATTGGAGACTATAGGTAGGGTGTGATATACAAGAACATACCACAATGAGTTATAATGTATGATGGTTTATGCCTAATATTGGATCATGCCTGTTAATGATATACATCCCCCATAATAAGGAAGATACCATGATCCCCATAGTTAAGGCTCCTTATGGTAATGCAGGACTTATATCACCAACAGTATTGAAACTTTCCAAGGTTTTAGTGCGTCAGGCTCAGAGCTCATGCTTTTTGGCTTCGCTTTTCGGGGTGTCGGGCTGAAATAGAGGAATTTCAAAGAAACTAGGGTACCTTATTATTCTGGGGTCCGTAGAATAAGGATTCTACTACTTAGGGTCCTATATCAGGGTCCCTTATTTTCTGAAACTCCCATATAAGGCTTCCACCTACCCCTGAACCCCAACACCGCATCCCCTAAGTACGAGACAGCAGGCCCTCCACAAGAATGGAGCTTACCTTACCGTCGCTGCCGATCCGCCACCTGGCATCAACTTGGAGCTCACGCTACGAATTCAAACGGTTTAGGGTTTAGGGCTCACGGTTTAGGGTTTTGGGACCCTAAACCCTAAACCCTGTTTAGGGTTTGGGGTTTAGGGNNTAGAGTTGAGGGCTGAGGGTTTGGGGTCCTAGGGAGGCTTGGGTTTAGGAGGGCCGACTGAGCTGCCTTCAGGGTTCCTGAAGGCTTTTTGAATGGTATCCTTTAAGGGCTCTGAAGGGCTGAGCAGATGGTGGCACCCTAAAAGTTCCTCATCATTTGTTTTGCAGATGGTGCAGGACTTGGTTTTTTAATCCGAAACCCTAAACACCAGAAGCACAAATGCCAGCAGCAGTAAGGTTTCCCCGGGGCAACTTGTCAGAGCACGCAAAGCTCAATCCCTACCTGGACCCGAAAAAGTATTCAGAATGATAGCCCCTTATGGCTGTTGGGCGGCCATAGTTGGGCAAGAATGTTACATATATTTGGAAGTTCGGGTAAACCCTGAACAAGTTGTTGGGCAACAGTACGGATGAGCAGTTTTTCACGATAACATCCACGACTTGTCTTGTAACAGCAGAACCCCCAAGGTGCGGTCAAGAGTTCCGCGACGGACAAGCATAATAAGGGGACCAGAAGTGACAACGGTTCAGGTAACCAAGGTTCATGTGCCCAGGGTGGTATGTACATTGGCCCTCTTACCTTATCTGTACATAAACTCTTACAAAGGTGCATGAGTGACTAAATAGACCCTAAACCCGAAACCCCTAA